TTTGGACACTGGCTCATTTATCTGAGATCTCATAATTCCAATCTTCAAAATCAGTTGGCACAGGTTGAGTCTCACAGATTGGTCTAGCATCCACTTAGTCATGGGGTGGGCTTCCACTAGGCAGTTGCTTCCTAAGAAACAGAAGGGCTTTTTTTATATAAAGCCTCTTGAAACTTGGCATGGAACATATATGGCCATGGACATAATATCGGCAAGCTTGTGATTATCTTTTGTATTCCACAAACTGTGTACATACAGACCAGCACAGATCTGGAAGCATGCATTTTCATATAAAAATAACCTCATTATAAAATACAAGCGAAGATTGGCTGAACACTTGATCAATTTGCAAGGCAATAAAAGAGGTGACACAAGAAGGCCGGGGAGTGGGGGGGTGGGGGGGGAGGGGGGGATAGTCCCTGTGACTGAACACTGCAACAATAATCACATGTTGTTTTCCAGTTATTACATCAGTGTCCCGTTATCCACGAAATTAACTGACAGAAAAAAGGGAGATGTTTTCTCCCTTTTCTCCTTGATTCTTAATAAGATAAGGTTACAGAGGGCTCTAGGCACCATCCCTGGTCCTCTTGCCTGAAGGAGTGGGCTAAATGACATTCATGGGAAACCCATGACTTTTAAGGAGAGGATTGTCATTTATTATAACAAGCATTAAAATCTTCAGCGAAATAACACAAGGCACACTTATCATGTTCTGTGTTAATCAATAAATCTTTATATTTATGTAAATTAAACCATTTTATCTTTAGGAGAAAGTGGTAGGAGCTAGACTAGCAGCATGTAGGAGGGAAAAAAATGAATCATCTTTCAGGATGGGAAGGCACCAGTATCAGAACAGTTTGGAGGGGTGGCCTTTGTCCCTGACACTTGGGGGGTAATTAGCTCTGACCACTCACTGCTTCACTGTCTTGCTCTTTAGTTTCTTTCTGGGAAGGGAGAGGTGCTGAGTCTCCAGAGGAGTTGTGTAGGCACCTGACAGCAGCCTGTGGAAGACAGCAGTCCTGGGGCCCATAATGGGCAGTCTGTAGCGAATGCTCTCTAGAAGACAGTGCAAGAACAGAAAGTAAAGACTTGGACTCTGTTCTTACAAAAACACAACATAACCAACGGCCGCCAGAGACTCCTCCAGCCTTAGCAAATAATCAAAATTCACATAAGAATTTCTTTTAATAGAACCATCTCATGCCAACAACATTTAAACTTTTCTAAATCAGATCGAAGATGCCAAGTGAAATTTAGAAATAACATCCAAGAGTTAGGAGTATTGCCAGTTAAATTTAAATTGGATTTAAAGTATATCTGGATTTGTACTATTAACTCAAGGGAAAAAAAGGGCTCAATTCTCAGGAGACTGTTCCAGGACACATGTGTCCAGAGTCCTGTTCTTTGAAAAAATAGTCATGATCTCATAAAAAGGCTACAGTAGGAAAAGGATTTAGTATTTTAAAAGGAACTTCAGCTTGTGAATAGCCCTAAAAATCCTTACCATACTGACCTCTTCTTCAAATGTGATTTGATTTTTTAAAAATGTTTACATTTATCTTTCCCAGAATACACATTGCTTAAAGGAGATAAATCATGTGTGCAACAACACTTCCCCATTGGAACTAACTGAATGAGTGAGGGAGGTGAAGCTCTGAATTTTCTGAAACAAGTCTGCTTGGTCAAGCCAAATGGGAGCTAACTCAGTTACAGGCTTGAAAGTCTAGAATGCAGTGCAGCCTTATCATTGCAATTAAGAAGCAACAATATTTTGGGTTGACAGACACAAGCAGGTTGAGGGCCAGGTTCTAGCTCCCCTTAGTCTTGACTTAGTACGCTTTGTATTCTGTCCCACTTCTCTGCCAGATGCTAAACACATGTGAGGTGGGCCATATACCACCATGGCTCATCAGGAATAAGAGCCTGTACTTTTCGGGGAATTGAGACAAAGATAAATGAATCCAATGTAACCTCCATTTTGGATCCCGATAATAAGGTTTGGCTGAATTGAGGAACATGTTAGAAATCACTGTTTCAGCCTAGAAAATGAATCAGATAACTGTGGGCAGTGAAGACCCTGGGATTCTGTATTCATAGTATGTTTGCATGGGGCTGGCAGCCTAAGCAGTAAGTAGCAAGTAGTGAAGTACTGATGTGGCTAAGCTGAATGAGCCATCAGGCTGCGTCTGCCAGCAGCTGTGGCTTGGTCCAGCATAAAGGTTGCTTATATTGTATGAAACAAAACGCTGCTCCAGCTTCTAAAGTGGGAACACAGACACCACACCCACAGAGAAAGACCAGAATCTGGGAAGAGGCATTATTGGTCCTAGGCTACACTTTCCCCCATGCTTGGAGGACACCCACAGCAACAAAGCCTAGCTCAAAGAGGTCACAGCTGGCATCACATAGAGGTCCACCAGTGCTCAGCCCCCTAACCAGTTTTGTACTCACTTTCCCTACAGCTCCATCTCCAAAATTGTTGTCTTAGATTAGACTTCTCTGTGCAAGTAAATACCATGCTGATCCCATGTACCCTCAGCTAGCTTTTACATTGCTAACTGAAGCATTCCCGGGTTTACAAATTGGTTTTGCAAAATAGTCTTGCTGAGGGAAGGAGATTATAATTAATCGTGTGTGTGTGTGTGTGTGTGTGTGTGTGTGTGTGTGTGTGTGTGTGTATGCATGCATGCACATGTACATATATGTGTTTTTGGTTCATTCCTTTGCAAGACAAATTTGATAAAAAAAAAAAATCCAGGTCCAAGAGAAATTCAAAATAAGTATGTCACTAGCACAGATGATGCTGAGACTGGTTGGGTGTGCTTATCTCCCAGGGTTCTTTCTCTTGGTGTGGTGAGTATAACTGACCAGAGGACATTGGTGGGGAACTTTCATTGTGTGGCTGCTCTTAAGCTCAGGTCTTCATTGCTCACTTTTGCCTAATCAAAATCATGAATTAGGTCAACAGTTTTGGTATATGAGAAGAAATTCATGGGAACCGGGCCGCCCCCTTTCACTGCAGTGGAGTTGGATTCGCAAACCTTCCATTGTTTTGTGGGATCTCTGGTCTTTCCTTTGGCATCTGCCCAAGATATCCCTTCTGTACTCAACTTTCCTTTCTAGGGGGCTTCTCAGTTCAGTTCCATTTATGAATTCCTGCAACTTTTTATGATAAAATATCAACTTTTGATTTCTGTAACCATAACTTCATTTCTTTTACTGTACAATTCAAATGAAACAAAAGCTTTAGGTAGTCTCAGCCATTTGGGATCCATAGGATAGGGAAAAGAGTCACTAAAGCTTAGGCTGCCCTAAATCTTTAAATCATGTCACCCCAAAGAATGGCTTAGTTGTATATTTGTAAGTCCATTGCCACCCATCTCTAAGGGGTGAGACATAAATCAGTGTTGCAGCCTGGGACACACTACTGCCTTTGTGTGTGTGGTTTATAAGTAGTAATAGAACTCAGAACAGCATTGGGCAGCTTCTGGAGGAAGGTAGGTGTTTTAGGACTGTTACGGATAAAGATGTGTGGCTTTCGAGTGAGACCATTTCAGGAGTGTTGTGATGCCCTGTCTTCCCACTTTGATCTGAATCACCAGGACTGCCCAGGAAAGCCTTTCACTTAGTGTGTGTCCCATTTCTCTGGAAAGTTCTTTAGCAAGTGGCTTATTAGTCAGAATTATGTGACCTAAAGAGACCTTGGAGAAAACATGACATGAAAACATGTGAGACCCTTGGAGGGGATAGAGTGAGCTGGAGTTAAAAGGAGGAGGAGGAGGAAGAGGAGGAGGAGGAGGAGGAGGAGGAGGAAGAGGAGGCAGCTGTGAAACAATCCCAGCACATCAAAAGATTATACACAAAAGAAAAAAAGGGACAGAGCATAGAATTTGCTCAGAAAATGTAGACACTATCATAGAAACTTAAGTTTTCCATTCTCTGGCCCCAAGTAGAGTATGTATTATACCAGAAGTGCTTATTTTAAAAGAAAACAAACCTGTTGGAATGTCATTGCAGGGGTGATCAAACTGCTGGATATCGGGATGGTGAAGGAGCATCTCTCTGATTGGAAGAATCAAGAAAACACATTAGTCATTTGGCTAGACCTTAGTGAAAAGGAACTGAAGGGACTCTAGCTAGTCTGGACCTGGCAAACATGGCTCTGGCAGGCCCTGACCTTCTCCCCCATTCCCTCCGCCTTGCTAAAAAAACATTAGAGTTCATCCCTGAAGCTAGCCACCAAGGTCTGTTCCCTTACTTGCTCACTTCCTCCTCCTGGGGCTGACTACCAAGGTCCAGCTATCAAAGAATTGAAGTCCAGCTTAAAAGCCCCTTTTGGCTACCCTAATTAAAAAGTCCAGTCAAAACAAACCAACTCATCATAACACGAGGTTTCCACCTTTCCTTTATAAACTGCAATTTTTCTATGTGCCACGTTTATTTCTGCCCTATCAAGAGGCAGTCCTTTGTCCTTCTCGGACAAATGCCCCTGCCCCTCTCCCTGCCCCCTTCCCCTTCTCCCTAGCCCTCTGTCTCCTGTCTTCGTCTCTTAGTCCCTGCTCTTTGTCCCTCGGGGGCAAATCAATCTTCCTTGTGATGAGAACTTGGTCTTGGGACTCCCTTCCGGAGTGTGTCTCTACCCACAGAGCAGAGGCGTTCTCCACTGCAGCATCTGCTTACCTGCCCTCAGGCCCCTTTGCAGCAGGGGGTAAGAATTCATTGTCCAAACCCCACAATTCTCTAGTGCTTTTCCTTGGTAGCATCTTAGTGGGTTCTGACAAAACCTTCATTTTAAAAATATTTTATTCTATAAGAACATGTAGAATCTAAAACTAGTAGGGATTAAGGAAATATTTCTCCAATTTCCTTAAAAAGTAAAACATTTTCCAAGTCAGTCATTTGCCCCTGAAAAACAAAACTGAGGAAATGTTTTGGTTGGAGACTGTGACTTCTCCATTTCTCCTGGTAGCCAAGGTTGTGGGGGTGACTCCCACCCCCACTCCAAATATGTTCAATCCTAAGACATTCTAGATTGGTCTAAACTGCTTAATTCCTTAAGACTTACAAACTGGTAACACTTGATGGGCTTGCCAGCAGTGATTCTCAATCTGTGGGTCATGACCCCTTAAGAGACAGCGTATCAGATAACCCTGCATATTAGATATTTTCATTACTATTCATAACAGTAGCAAAATTACAGTCATGAAGTAGCAATGAAATAATTTTATGGTTGGGGATTACCCCAACATGAGGAACTATAGTAAAGGGTTGAAGCTTTAGGAAGGTTGAGAACCACTGATAGGCTAGCTACACATTTTAATGCGCCTACTTTTACAAAGATCTTCTGTGGTTGTTCTGTTACCAAAATATATGGCCGGTCTAGACAGTTTCTTTAATTTACTTGTCACTGGAGGGCTCATTGAAATGGAGAAAAAGGAAGGCAAGACCCATCTATGTCCACGCTGTGCAAACAGGAAGCAGTATTTTCAGGAATGAATAGTTAACAATCTGTCTGTTCTACAATTCAGCAAATAATCATGTGTGCCCCATCCTTTCTTCCTCTCTCCTTCATTCCTTACATTCCTAAAACATTAACTCTTGCAGTGGCTATAGCTAAAATCACTTAAGAAGAGGCAGGGCTGGAGAGAGGGCTTGGTGGTTAGGAGATTTGGTTCTTCCAGAAGACCTGAGTTCAATCCCCTGTATTTACACTGGGCAGCTCAGAACCACCGGTAACTTCAGCTCCAGGGCATCTGATGCCTTTCTGGCCTCCACAGGTGCACCCCACGCCCACCCCATGACATACACACATACACAAAAACCAAGATAAAATACATTTTTAAAAGGGGAGAGGAAATTGTTTTGGTGAGGTTCCACTAGCCCTGTGTGTGGAGAGACTTGCAAAGGGTGAAGATTTTATACACAGCAAACAGAGCCAAACACATATTGTACAGTCACTCTCTGTAAGTATCAAACTGAAGTGGTAGGCTTTCTTTCATCATTATGTTGAAAATGAAACCAAAAACAAAGGTTTGAGAGTATTTTAAGATCATTCCATTCTTGGCCACAGTTTAAAGGAATAAGAACTGCTTGCCTAAAATAAAACGATTTAATGATTTTTGGATTAAGTGCTTTACTTAAAGTACAAAACATTCTAAATCAGGGCAACAGGTTTCAAAGTCTCTCTCATAGAAGAGTTAACTTTTGCTCAGAAACCCTTGATTGAAAGAGTTTCCTATTTACAGTTTGCAAAGAGTATTTATTAGAATTACTTTTATCATGGTAAAAAAAAAAAGTATGAGCAAATGTTATTAGTGTTGGAACTTGGACTGCCTGGACACATGTTCCCTCTGTGACCTTTGTGTACCTGAGCCAGCACTGGTACATGATTTCAGTGCACCTGACTTGTGTCATAGTCTGGAACAAAAGGCCATAATGTCAGAAAGGCAATGAGAACATTTGCTTCTGAGCCACATGACAGAAAAACTTGCTAGTTTCTTCCACCTTTCTCTTTATATAAGGGGAAGAATTAAATGTTGCCTTAGCATCATATATCATTATTCTGTAAAGGTGATGCTGTGCTCACACTCTACCATCTATTGCTAGGCATTCAGAACACTGATGCCTTAGCCAGAGTGAGTCCATGTTTGTTGTTGTTGCTTGTTTTAGTTAATGCACCAAACAATGAGTTTCATTATGAAGTTTCATACATGTATAGCATCATATTTGGGCTTGGAGGTTTTTTTTTTTAATTAAGGTTTTCATAATGAGAACATTATATTTGTACACAGCCCCCCATCCCCCCAACTCCTTTCATGTTCTCCCAAGAGTTTTACAAAATAAAGAAGTAAATTCTTCACTGTTGATAGTCAAATACAAGAAAAAAGTTTAAAGACCCAATTAATCAGAATTTAACTAGATTTTCATTTTTGTTGTATTTGTTGCATCCTGTTGTATTTCTTTCAGCAAACAACAAAATAGAATGGATAAGTAGAATTTAAGTTGGTAAAAGGTGACAGAGGATGTCTTGAACTTAGGACAAATTTTGTGTCATCTCCCATATTTTGTGAATTAGATATATGTCATCTATTCAAGAATTGTTA